GCTTTTTAAATGCTTAATTGTAATGTTGAATGACTTGCAAGATGAACAGGCTTTAGAAATACAACGGAAATAATACTTATTTGCTAATTGATAATTTTAGTATTTGTTTTTATAGGGAGGAAGACCCTTTTGAATAAAACTCAACTCCAGGGATGATTCCTGGGCAAAACTGACATATTTTGGCATTAACACAGGAATGTTTTACTTCTCCTGTTCTGCAGTGTTCGTCCAGTGACCTAATCTAGCTTTAGATTTACCCCGGGTATTTTCTCATAATCCAAATGTTAATCAACTCTGAGTCAGTTTGCCTTGGTAACCTAGATTTCTACTTTTGATTTAATAGAATTCAGGAAAAAAATATCATAGACTGCTACTACATATATAAATTTCTGGGTCAGAAATATTTCTGTGGCAAAAAAGAATTAGACACTCAGATAACATGCTCAAGCAGGTATGTTGCAAAACCTGTGGCTATATTCATATACTGTAAATTTGGAAAGCTTGGTCAGTTTTGTAGTATTTGAACCCACCCATGTGGTTAGTATATGTTTTAATGTACTGTAATGTGAAAACTAAGAAAAATGAGTTGAGTAAAACCAAGCTAAATGTGTTGTATAACACAACCATAGTAATATAACAAAATGAACTGAATGAAATCATAACAATCATCTTATGTTTTAAAAGCTACTTGTTAGCTTTTCATATCTGCATATTTTAAATAGGTATTTGCAATCACATGGTGCATATTGATGTAATGATTTATTCTAAATGGCAAATATTCTAATATGAAGTTTTAGGACTGAGCATGAACAAGTGTTACCTACTTCCTTGCCTATTTGAAAAAATATTTTGTGCCATAGCATCTGCAATTAGCAGGGACGTGAGACAGCTGCTGTCTCACAAAATCAAACAATGAATATTTTTGTATTCATTGCCTCAGAACTAGTAACGTATAAGTATTATTTTGAACAGAGGTTTTTTTTGTTCCTTTAAGTAAGTTTTTTGCAACTACCTGGATAAGTCCCTGAGTTTTCTTGGCAAAGTTTCTCAGAAGTGGCTTGCCAATGCCTCCTTCCTTAAGGCTGAGAGGAAGTGACCCAGGATCACCCAAATGGCTTTGTGCCTAGGATGGGACCAGAACTCAGTCTCATGGTTTCTACTCTGATGCCTTAACCATTACACCAATCTGACACTTTTTATTTGCAGTATTGGTGCTGGAAATTTTATTTACTATCAAGCTATTGAAAATTACCAATCAAATGCAAATCTCTCACAACATTCTTCACTAATCAAGAATTCTAAGTATACTGTATATACTACTATGATCCTACTAGTTTCTCCAACATTTTTGAACAATGAAATGAGCTAAGATATTTAGCTGAGTTATTTAAAATGTTCCCTAAATACTGTGTGGGGGGGGGAATCCACACTATCTCAGACCAGAGGCAAAAGTATACTGCTCAAAAAAATAAAGGGAACATTTTAACATGGAACTGAAGGAGTTTGCGTTCCCTTTATTTTTTTGAGCAGTATATATTTAAACCCCTGAGGACTTTACAATTAAATTCCCTTTGGCACGTTGCTATGATATATTGAAAGAGATGGTTCTGCAGATTATTCCCATGGTAATGTTACTTTTCTTTCATTACGACAATTTGGGGGTTAATACAGGGACTCTAGACTGTATGAAGGGAGAGTCTGAATTGTCTGCCAGGAATTCCTTATTTCAGAATAGAATTCATCCATCAGGAAATAGAGTTGGGTCCTTCTGCAACTCAGTTAACTAATTTAAATGTCAGTTCAAATGTTACTGCTGAGGACACAAAACTTAATCTACTAAGAGTCTTGCTATGTTTATCTTGCCCCCCTGTTGGAAGAAAATATGGTGTATTTTACTATGGCATCTCAGTGTTGCTGAAATTGTATAATCAGTAAGACAGCATGTTTAATGAAAGGGTCTAATCTTTTCTTGTCATGGGAAGGATTTCCTGCAGTTTAAGATTTTTCACTGGAAATAAAATATGAATTAGTTTTTAATGTGACTGATACATACTTAGAAAGTTTCCCCTTCAAATAGCTGATCATGAATCTAATTTGCAATGAACATAAATCTATATTTTATTTTTGTACTTTTTATTTTCAACAATGGCTAATAATAAAACAATAAAAATAAGCACCTAAACATGAATAAAAATAAAATTAAAAAGAGGAAATAAAAAATAATTAAGACTATGGTCCAGATAGTGACTAAATCATAAAGTTTAACTGTGTAAAGGGAGATCCATGCATAAGAATCTCCTCAACATAATTGTATCCCATCTACTCAGCTAGTTGCTCTCCACAACATTTGAATATGGGCACAGTTCTCTACTAGAATCCCAAACAGCCAGGCCCCTAGCATAGGTGACATTTTCTCCATCTCCAAACTTAAGACAATGACGGTGATAAAATATATTCCTTCAACATATGGCAGTGTTGGTAGAATTAGACTGAAAGTAAAAAAAACATCCCAAATCAACAGACAGCGGAATTTCATGTAAGAGATTATTGTTTTTAGAAACATTGAGAGCTCTTCCCAAGTAGCCCTGCATTCTGATGTGGAATAAGTTACATCATCTTAGCATGGGTGAAGATTGCTGTATATTTGTCGATACCTCTATTTTTCTGTGAACTTAGATTGTATGCTTAGAGATCTTCTGCATGCCACTAAACTGTAAAGGGCTAAATGTGGGTGAACAAGTCAAACCAGAATTTAGACAAGGTACAAGTGCTTCCTTTCTTGGGGCTAGACTTCATAAGGATCAGGTGTATAGTTTCTAGGTCCTCTTGGGTCCTATATAGATACTGGAAAGCCATATTATGTTAGTGGCAAGATGGACCTTTTACCAGCACTGGCTGATATATTAGGTAGGCTCCTTCTGGAGGGATAGAATTTACAAAGTGCTTTTTTGAAATGGCATTATAAAATAGTTTTGAAGCTCCAATTGCTCCATAATGCAATAATATGGATGATGAATGGTACTTGTAAGAAATAAGAAACCATCTGTACTAGTTAAAAATTGCTTCATGAGCCCAAGTCAATGTGCTCAGAATGGTGTATAAAATCTTATATAGCTTGGGCCCAGGTTACTCAAAGAACTGCTAATTCCTATATAGCTTGCACCATACTTTTTGCTAATTCTGTTTTTTTCTATTGTGAGAACAATTTGCTATTGTTAATTGTTATAATTCTGGAGGGGGCTTAACATATTTTACTGAGATATCCTAGTGTTCTAAAAAGTTCTTTAAAATTTTTAAGGCCTTAAGTGGGCTTTAATGGCTTTTTACCTTGGCTTTTATATCACTGTTTGTAAGCTGCCAAGAGCCATAAATGGATTGGGCAGTACATACTTTTTAAAAGAAAAAAGTAAAAATAAAAGAGAATATGGTTTGCTTATGTGATTTGTGAAGTAGGATCAAAGCAAAATTTTATTTTTATTTTGATCTATACATACTTTCCCATGTATTTTGACTTAATTTTATATTTAGCTATCAATTCAGACTATACCTTTTTACCACAAAATAATATTAAGATTTCATGTTATTTAAACAGGTGGATGTCTAAATGCATTTTTTAAAAAATACCAGTCCTCATACATTTACTGAAAAGGATGTTTAATTGATTTACATAATAAACTCATGCTTCAATTGTTTTCTGGAAAGAAGCTACATGTCTGAATAATAGGAATGTCTCGATGGCTTCTTATAACAAAAGAAAAACTATATTTGGATTCCAAGATAAATTTTCTATTATCATGCCTATAAAAGTTGATCTGACAGTCAAATGATCTTTTTGAATAATAGGAGAAGTTGCATTTTAGGAGAAATTATGGGACTCACCCTGCATTGCATAGTAAAGTGCATGGAAGAAATGAATCCAATTATTTCTTTCCCATATATAGTATGTCATATTGTTTAGAACAAAAACAGAGAACTTTTGAGATGCTTATAGGTGACTATAGTGGAAAGTTTCTTTGATTTCTTTAAATTAACATAGGGTTGGCAATATGCTTCTAAATATCTCCATTAGTGCTTATTCAATTCCCTAATCTATTTAAATGGGTGGTTTAATGTTTCAACTCACCTAATTTCGTATTTTTACGATTATAGCACATCCTTCTTCTGCCCTTTAAATTTCTTCTATTGTCTTTTGAATGTTTTCATTCTTATTCTATGTTCTTCTTTCACATCTTATACTGTATCAATTTAAAAACCAACTTCCATTCCTGTCTCTTTTTTTATTGCTGCCTAGCAATGTTTAAGCCTAAGTTATTTCCCTTATTACTTTTCAGACTGGCCATTTAGGTTTATGTCTCTTCTGCTAGTCTTGCAATAGGAACATTATATTGATGCAACAATCTTTTGACAGCTATTATTAGTTGTAAGTCATAGCACTTTTCTGAGGTACACAGAAAGAGATGCTGTTCCATTCAGAATCTGACTGTGTTTCCTAGGTGATGTTTGGCTAGCTATAAATGGAAATGATACATGAATCTAATCCATGCTGGATTAGATGGATCTGGGACCTAATCCAGCAGAGTTCTGAATAATCTGAATTGCTTTTCATAAGAACATGTATAGAATAATTGAGAAAACAGATGCTGACATTTTGCTGAGGAAAACAACTTTCTCAGAACCAGTGCAAACAATTATGGGCAGCTGCTCAACACACCAGAGCAATACTTTCTACCGCAGAGTAGTTTAGCACTACATGCCAAAATAACTTAATACTGGGTAGCTGTTTTTCTATATTACCCAAATGGGATTGGCTAACCTAGCTTGGCTATCAGCTTTGGTTACCGCATTACTCTGGATTTCTTATCAGGTAGATCGTGTATTCTGTTTTGTGTGCACAATTCCTCTTCTAATAGTTGCTTTATTAGTCTTATTAATATACATCAAATTTCAATTACACCAACCTGTGCATGTTTCAAAAGGGTATACAATAACCTTATACTTACTCAAAAAATGTTGTCCATCCAATTTCATCACTTCTAGTTGCTAGGAGTCCACTATTGCCATGATATGTAAACAAGACTAGTTCCTGTCCTTGTGCTATCATATTTTTTAAGCAACCGTTGGTTCCTATGGTTAACCAGATGACTTGATTGTCAGGAGATACTACCCTTACTGGCATCCGATTGGGGTCACGCCTAATACGAAGGGTATTTCCATTGCTGTCAGTAACTGCAGTTATATCATTGTCATTACTGTAGCTAAAATTGTACAGATAATCTCCTGTGACTAAACTCATTGTGTACTGATGAGTGCCATTGACATCAAAGATATAGAGCTCCTGATCAGTTGGAGAGGCAACTTCATAAAAGTTCATGGAATTCAGCAGTGGTTTGTTCTTTGACACAGCTCTTATTCGAATATTTCCAAGATCTGCAATATACAGTGTTCCATCGGGTGATACAGCTAGGGAAGAAGGGGCACTGAGTTTGGCATCTTTAGCATAGCCATCACCATTTTGATAGCAGTCACAGTTAACATCATTTTTGCAATCACATTCAGAAGGTATTCCAGCAACTAGTGAAATTTCTCCATCTGTTGTTACTTGTCTTATTCTGTTTATTTTTTTTTCATCTGTTTCTGTAATGTAAAGCACCCCATTATAGGATAAAGCAATAGCGGTGGCTGATTCTAAGGTAGTTTGCACTGCATGTTTTCCCACTGTATATTCCACTCCAGGAACCTGGCAATGCATTGGCCTTCCAGCAGCTATACGGACTTGCCGATTTTCTGTAATCTGAAGCACTACGTTGTTATCCAGCACATATATGGAGTTATCCATTGGGTTAATAGCTAAATCTGTTGGCCACTCCAGACGTACCTTATCAAAACAAGAACAATTTATTAACACATTAGTTAACCTGGCTTTAACCAAATAAATTTTCTGGATGAAATTTAAAATAGCTCTAGCTGCTACTTTTGGAATACTTGTCTGTTTTCTTTTAATTGCACAGAATTACAGAGAATGGTGTTATTCAACAATTTAAATGACTGAACTTAGATGAAAACAATTAAATTAAAAATTAAAAATAATGAACAGTCTGGAAACAATGTCATTTGATTTTAGAGGCTGAACTTGTATGAATGAAAGAATTAAAAAATAAGCTTATAATTAATAAAGTTAATGACAAATTTGTGTAAATGGGGTTCTGTGGAAACAAATGGGGCCTTCAGATCTGACTCCCACACAATATTAAGAGCTTGTCTCCCTACAAACCCAGCAATGCAAAGAAAATTTCTAGAGAAACTCTACTGAAAAAGGCAATATTTAAAATTATATCAATTTGTGAGCCTTTTATTAAAACACCAGTCTAGCAAAATCTCTTGGGAAGTTGCAAAATGTTATGTCATTGCAATCACAGTTCTGATTAGGAGGTGCAGCATCTGAGCTATGCACAGACAAGAAGAGGTTTTGATAAACATGTGGATTTATGAAGTTTGGTAGTCTTTCCTGATTTTGGTCATGTGTTAAATTGCTTTTGGGTATACAGTTCTGATTTCTACATTAGCTTTTGACCCACTACAGCATAGTAAAGAAGCAGCAAGCAAGCAAGCAAGCAAATAAGAAAGAAATGCTTGTAGTACACTAGAATAATGAGTAAATGTTTGTACGAAATGCATCTGAGTCTTGTAATTTTCTAATATATGTCAATACATGTGCAATATTTGTTACAACCCACCTTGAAAATTTTTTTTTCTCAATTGTTTCTAAAATGATGCTATAAAGGGTATAAAATCTTGGTTTTTATAATTGTTTTACTTTGATGATTTACATTTTGTAGAATTAAATAATAAATAATTTAATTAAAGGTTGTTTTCAGGGGCATTAAATTCAACACAATATTCTTGTATAAGACAGAAATTTTATTTTAAGAAGTGATCAAAGTTGAAATAATTATCAATAACTTAACACAAAATTTATTGCTGAGTTTTTTAATTGTCTAGAATTTACAGACAGAAGGCATAAATAAATTAGACGTTTACTACAAGTATAAGAAAATTCCATAACATAAAAATTTAAAAAACTCATTTTTTCCTTGTCTCCTGCCAGGAGTTTTATTTGCTTGAAAGACATGTGAATGAATAGATTAGACCTGGATAAATGAATAATCTATTCATTTAGACCTGTATTTATTTTTTTTGATTAGTGAATTGACAAAGAACATGCTGATCTTATTATTGTGTGAACTATACTATACAGGCTGTTTCAGGGGAAAATGACTTATCTCAAAAGAAAAAAGAGTTCTTTATTAAAAATACCTGGCTGATATGCATACTGGTGTCACATGTTAATGGTCGCGCAGAAGTCAGATCATTTGAACCAAGTAATGTTGATATAATTCCATTTTGGTCCACTTTCCTGATCATAGTTCCATCAACAAAATAGATTAATCCATTCTTATCTACTGCCATTCCTTCAGTAAAACAAACAAACAAACATATACTATATGATTTTCTTTCAAATTATAACAATCAACATTTTTACTGTTCTATTTATACACTGCTTTTTACGTCTTTCGTGAAACACCAAGAATGACTCTAAAAATTTAATAGAATTGGGTTCTAACCAGATGTTTCTAGTATGCTGGCATATCACGTATGAAAATAAAACATTGTTCGTTGCAGTTTGTTAAGCATTGTGTCTAAGTATAGACTGAACCCTTCATGATTCCCTGGATACAAAGTCTTTATAGCATGCATACATGACCACAGATGAACAAATGATGACATATGCATAATGATGCAATCATGCAACTGACATGATTTACATACTTGCAACACAGGTTATGATGCAAGCATGTAATTGTGGTTTTTGCATGATTATGTCATCATATGCATGCCATCTTTTAGGTATCATTCCAGGTTTCCATGGACATCCCTGATAGAAGGTAAAAATATTCATAATGCATGATAATGAAAGATAAATTATCAATGATAGAAAATCAAAGACTTCATTTTTGCAACTTTACTTTTGCAAGGTTCTTCCATTCAGAAAACAAGATATAAGTACAGGATTGAATAAACAACTAGACAGTATTAAATATTATCATGAGTGCTGACTAATATTGCATATTTTTCTCTTCATAAATTTTTAATTTCCTCCACCTTTGGGACTCATCAGAGTAGCTTCTACAGCCTTGCCACCATCGCCACATCTTGCTTCATCAAATGGAAGGCACTGTTCTCCAGTCCCTGCTACTACATCAGCATTTTTTGTCAGGTCTTTTGTTCCTGTAAGTAATTTTGGACGATAAATCCGTCTTGTATTTGTATCAGAAACATACAATTCTCCTGTGACTGGATCAGTTGCAAGATAGTATTTATGAGCTGGATTACTGCTGCAAAAAGAAAAACAAGTGTTTTTAGTATAATTATAATCCTATGTCACTTTTTTTGTTTGTCTAATTCAGCGGTTCTTGAGCATTTAGTATCCCTTTACATTCTAAAAAATAATTGAGACTCCAAAAAGCTTTGGTTTATATGGGCTATATCTATTGATATTTACTGTATTAGAAAATAGAAAAAATTTAAAATAATTGACTTGGCAAAAACTACATTTTGAGAATGATTGGTCTAATTATATAATTCTAAGACATCTGTAACATATTTTAAATGTTAGTTTCAAATAATTATATTTGGATTTCTTCACTTAGATTGCTCCTTTGTTCTTAACATTTTCTCATAAATCTAAGCCATTTGAAAACACGATCCATATTACTGATAAATAATATATTGTGTTTTCTTCTGATCAACAAGCATCTTTTTATCACTGAGCATGATTTCATATATTAGACAGCATATTTGTGAATAGATCCAGCTTTTTTCAAAATATCACAGCATTTAAAAAACCTCCAAATATGCCATCATGTTTTCCTATGAAATAAAAGAATATATAGTTTTTTAGCTTCTTCAAAGCTAAATAAATTTTGGAGAAAAAGTTTTCTTTCCTAATGAGTAAATAACTTTATTGAATATATCTGCTGCTCAAAAATACAATCCAAAAACTTAACTAATTGCATCAATAACAATATATCTAAGTTATGGCTTAAAAGAATGAATATACAGCTGATAATATTAGACTGACTACTAATACACAAAATCCTAGTTATCCGTCAGATCAATGTCCAATTTATTTGCAAATGTGCTACTAACATCTATCCAATAGATTAGGTGATATTGGAGCATATGTTCACAAAAAAATACTGCTTAGTATTTCATAAATATAAATATAACAGTGTTAGAATAACACATTGCATTAATATTGCTGGCAAAGACTGTCAGAGGTTAACATAAACAAGTTGTGAATAAATTATATTTTGAAGTAGGGACAAGTTTTGAATAATTATTAATATGTAATTTTAATAGACACAGAAATTTGGATGGAAAATATAATCATTTTAAGTCACTGGTAAAATTTGATTAATGCAACTGGAAATTGGAAAATAGTTTTTGAAAATTCTTTTAAGATAAAATAATGATGGTTATAGTAAATAATATAATGGATCAAATGTATGCCTTTTCATGCATATCTTTTCACTAATGTGCTTAGGTTGTCTAAAGACAAATAAAAGCTTTCATTAGATATAAAATTCAGCTTTGGATAATAATTTTACAGAGTTTGGTTGGAGAACAAATCTAAATTTAAATCAAAGAATATTTAACTTGCACAAAATAATGGAATTTGACTTAGTTTTATTACACTAGAAAAAACATGGCAAAACAAAGTGAACACATACTAATCCAAATACTGTTATTTTTAAGGTGAGAGAGAACAACTCAAGGAATATATATTTTAACAGAGGCTATCTTTTGTAGCATTTTATGGCTCAAGAAATAGGAAACTTGTGTATATCATTATAACATGTTAGATAGAAAGTGGGATCGAAACAATTTAATTCTGACTTTAAAAAAATAAACAGAAAAGTCGTTTTTCTCTAATATTTACATGTTTATCTTCATTGAATATTTCTGTATAGTAAAACATACATACTGAGTATTTTAGTATGATAAAGCAAAATTCTGAACTGGTGTAGCCCTAGAAGAATTTACTACTACTACTACTACTACTATATTGAAAAATATGTAAGTGTAGAAATAAAATTCAGAGACAGAAATGTAGACAGATAGCTGATGTATCCTTTTATTTTTGTAAATAACATTACCCTAACCATGTAACAACAGTTTCAATTTAGATGGGCAAATAAAGCAATGATTTTGATTTGCAACATGTAAAAAACTTCAGGGCAATATAATTAGCAAGGTTGTCTTTCTAGAGGGACTTGCCTGGACTCTGCTCCTTATAGCAGCTGCATTCTACATCCTACTACCTACTAAAACCAGGGTAATGCATATCTCGAGATACAGGCTTTTGGCTGGAGTAATCTGTTTCAAGAATACATGCCTCAGAAAGATGGATTTGATTCCTTCCTTATTCTGCTTTCATGGGGAGTAAAGGCTGATATGTATAATTGGGGCTTTAATGTTTATGTCATTTTCTATTTATACTTTTTTTTAAAAAATAGCAAATAGGTAGATGATGTAGAAATTTAGAACTGAAAATGTAATATGAGGGCTAATGAGAACAGCTGAGTATGATTGTAATTTAAAATAAGTGTGAACATTACAATATGTCATGAAGAAATATTACAAAGCTACATATACGAAGCATTTTTTACTGTAAGCATATGTCATTAATGAAAAAAATCATGAGAAACAAGATGAATTTCAGTTAAAGAAGAAGATTTCTAGATCAGAAAGCTCAGCCCACAATCGGTCATGCCCTAGTCACTTCCAGATTAAACTACTGTAATGTGCTTTACAGTGGGCTGCCCTTGAAGAGTATCCAAAAGCTTTAACTGGTCCAGAATGCAGTGGCATGGGCAGTTCTGTTTGTCCCCAGAACAGCACATCACACCTCTGCTCCACAAGCTGCATGGGCTGCCAGTTTCTTTCTAAGTCCAATTCAAGATACTGTTTTTGACTTAGGTCCTTCATGACATGGACTGGTTTATTTGAGGGATCATCTTTCCCCAATTTTATATTTGCTCGTCCTACCAGATCTGACAGAAAAGGCATGCTGTGGGTCCCATCTGCTAGGGAATTACTCTTGGCGAGTCCCAAGAAGCAAGCTTTCAGTATTGTGGTACTCGCCTTATGGAATATTCTCCATCCCAAAGTTAGGTTACTTCCATCCCTGTTAATCTTCTAGATGTCCGTCAAGACTGGGTTACATTACCGGGCTCAGAAGTCCCAAGGAACTGGTGACATCTCAAGATGTTTCCCATGATAATGATTGCTATACTTCTTTTTCCATTTGTGGTTTGTATACTCTTAACTTTTTAAAGTTTTTTTTTAAATTAATAATAGTTGTCTATATTTTTATAATGATGGTTTTTATAATGACTAATTTTATATTATGGTTTTGTTTGGTTGTTGTACACTGTCCAGAGACACTTCTGGGGAGATGGGCAGCTACATAAATTTGATAAATAAATAAATAAAACATAAAAAATACAACTATAAGGATTTTATATTATGAAAATGACCTGAAAAGACCGACAATAAAGATGAAGTGAGAAGGTGTTATTCTCTGTGTTCCACAACCTATTCAGCAGCTGTGGCACATGCCAATGATATCTTTCCTGGAAAGAATTTATCATATTTTCCCCTCATTATTCCAATTTGTACTTATAAATTATATCATATTATAACAGCAAGGAAAATATTATCTGTACTGTTCTATTCTCATTTTGATCTGAACCAGAAAATTTAAAAACATATCAGCTTTTAGGAACATAGGAAAGTCTTCTATCAGGCTAGGAATGTATTAACAAGGGAGATCAGGGTAGCAAAGAGAAGCTACTCTGAAAAGCTGAGAAACCAGTTCTCAGCTAATGAACCAGCAACTGTATGGAGAAGCCTGAAGAATATAATTGGCTACAGCTATAAGATCTCCCTCCCTTAATGAAGAGAATCAGCAAGTGGCAGATGTTTTACTGTAGGTTTGAAAGGAGATCACTGTCATTTACTGCTACCTTCCCCATCCCTAACAGTAGCCAATCTTCCTTCACCTATCTCCATCCTTCATCCTCTTCCTGGCCTCTCACCTCTGGTGATCTTAGAAAAAGATGTGCAAGGTCCAAGTGCCCAAACTGCAACCCAAAACCCACTTATGCATTGTCGGGTGCCGGGCGGGTGTGGCCCATTGGGTGGGCGTGGATGCCGTGGTAACGGCAGACTGGGTGAGACTAAAAAGTTCAATCAATCAATTCCAACTTTGCAAGATCTTTTTTTTTTCCTGCGAGAAGTTGAAATTGACTGATTGAACCTTTTTTTTTTTTTTGCACAGGCCTAAAATGAAAAAGTTTTATAAAACCCAGCTGAAGGCCTAGGACTGGGGTGATAGCGCCATGCCCACAGAGAGGGCTCTGAGTGTCGCCTCTGGCACCCGTGCCATAGGTTCGCCACTGTCATAGACAAAAGATGGGAAAAGCACCAGGCTCAGATGGAATAACTCTTTCTTGCTTGAAAGTCTGTGCTAAACAATTGGCCCCCATCTTCATCTGCATTTTTAATAAATCACTGGAGATGTGTTATGTCCCTTCTTATCAGTGAAACAACTTGCCTCCAGAAGTTAGGGTGCTCCAACACAGGAGGTTTTTAAGAAGATATCAGACAACTGTTTGTCTGAAATGCTATAGGGTTTCCTTCTTTAGCAGGGGGTTGGACTACATGATCCCTTCCAACTCTATTATTTTTTATTCTGCTTCAAATGCTCATCATCGCAGTTCCTAAGGAACCCTTTATCTGTGAGCTAAAGGACAACAGACTGGTTGCTCTGACATCTATAGTAATGAAGACCTTTGAGAGGTTAGTGCTGGCCCACCTGAAAACCAACATGGATCCGCTGTTATACTCCTTGCAGTTTGCCTACCGAACAAATAAATTGGCAGATGATGCTGTCAACATGGCATTGCACTGTATCTTGCAACATCTTGAATCCCTGGAGACCTATGCACAGGTCCTTTTTGTAGACTTCAGCTTGGCAATCAATACCATCATTCCAGAAAATCTTCACTCTAAACTGATTCAGTTAGCTATGCCTGTCCATACTTCTGGGTGGATTATTAGCTTTTTGATGTATAGGAAGCAACAGGTAAAGCTAGGGAAAATTACATCTAATACTCAGGCAATTAGCACAGGTGCCCCTAATATCTATGAGCTCTCTCTATTGCCTTTCTGTCTATATACCAATGACTGCATCTCTAAGGATCCCTCTATTAAAGTACTGAAGTTGGTAGATGATACAACAGTCAATGGTCTCATTTGAGACAGTGATGAGTATACATATAGATGGGAGATTGAACAACTGGCCCTGTGGTGCAGCCGAAACAATCTGGAGCTCAACATGCTTAAGATTGTAGAGATGAGAGTGGATTTTAGGAGGTGCCCTTTCTACCATCTCTTACTATATTTGACAGCACAGTATCAGCAGTAGAGTCCTTCACGTTTTTGGGGTCTATAATCTGTCAGAATTTGAAATGGACACCTAAAATTAGAACCATCATTAAAAAAGCATAACAAAGAATGTTCTTCCTGCATCAACTCAAGAAGTTCGGACTACCTCAGGACCTGTTGATACAGTTTTACAGAGGAATTATTGAGTTTGTCATTTTTATTTCTATAACTGGTACAGCAACCAAACAGGACAGGTACAGACTCCAAAGGATAGTTAGGACTGCAGAAAGAACAACTGCAACTAGTCTGCCTTCCATAGAAAACTTGTATACTTCATTGGTTAGGAAGAGGGCTGAGAAAATATCTGCAGACCCTTAGCATCCTGGACATACACTGTTTCAATTCCTCCCCTCAAAATGCTTCCATAGGGCACTATATGCCAAAACAACTAGACAGTTTTTTCCTCATGCCATCACTCTGCTGAACATCTAATTCTCACAGTATTGTATAATACTGTGTACATGTGTACATTTACCCCTTTTGTATGGCTGTAGCATTATTATTATCCTTCTTCTTTACTACCTACTCTTATTGGTATTATTATGATTATTATTACTCTATTGCGTTACATGTACACTGAGAGCTTCTGCACTGTAGACAAATTCCTTGTGTGTCTAACCACACTTGGCCAAATAAAGCTATTCTATTCTATTCTTTTCTGTTCCTGTTCTCAATTCCATTCCATTCCAATGTTAGAGCTTCTGACACATTTGAGATGCCAAAGATTAAATTTTGTATATCAGATTTTCCATCATAGCGATGAAACATCCTCTGTTCTATTCTGTTGAAACCCAAATATGTTTGTACACATGTATACAATGCTCAACTATGTATCTGGATTACTGCAAGCTCCAATGCCCAGCAGTCAAATGTATAACTGGATTCCATTAAAAAGGTAGTATGGTATTGTGGATCCCCAAAAGACAATGAGGTGGGTGATGGGTGTAGCAGGATAAAGTTAGTGAATCATTGAAATAAAACATAGCCAATACTTTAAAAACAGATCAGAAATACATAAAGATAATGAAGCATTGTTTTATCTGTTTTAAACATTACATTTTCCTAAGGAGTCATACTTTAAAATGTAACAGGTTAAACTGGGATTTGAAAATAATTTGATTAATAATGAACAGTAGCAATTTTTCACCTTATACTTACTAAGATTTATCTCAGAATAGTTTTAAGCAATAATGTTTGAAGCAGTTTTTGTAGTACTTTATTTACTCATTTAAAGCCAATAATAGCCTTAACAAAATGTATGAACATGCTTAAAATGCTTACCTATGTCTAAAATCTTTATTTCTTGGTGGGTAGGCAAAAGAAGGAAGAGCAAAAAGAACAGTATTAGAAGGAAAAAGTCAAAAGAAACAAAAAATTGGTAAGGTTGCTAGTAAGAATTTAGCCGTAATTTTATGTATTAATTTATTAGTTAGATTTATATTCTGCCTTTTTTTCTGGGTGCTCCAAGTGGCATACACAATGCTCCATCCTCCAATTTTTCCCCATTAACAACCAACCTGTGAAATCATTTGGGCTGAGAGAGAAACACTGACTCAAAATCACCCAGTGAACTTTCATGGCTAAAAACAGACCCAAACTTAGGCATCCCCAGTGATAGTCAAACACTGTAGCCCTTACATACAGCAGTTCCATTAGCGTGGCCACCTGAATGGTTATGATATATTAAATGGTTTTATAGTTGTGTGAGTAAAATAATATTTTGATACCATTTATATTTTTATATTCTGATGGATAAAGAGACACTACTGAGTCATCATAGCTGCATTCTAAAAATTAGGTATTTAAAATTAGGGAAAAATATACCTTAGTTCAAGTACACTTGTTACATTTCCAGATGGGAATATCCGTCGAACATAGTTGAAATCTCCTACATATAGACTTCCATCAATTCCACAAGCTAGGGCAACTGGAGCCAGAAGTTTATTGCCATCTGCTTGACCATTGCAACTTGGGCAAGAAATGCTGCGCCGACGGCCATTACCCATTATACTACTGACAACTGGTGGCTGCTGAGAGATAAACTGATTTTCCCCATTGCCTTTATACAGGATTCCTTATAAAAAAAACAGAAACATGATTCCCCCTTGTCTTTGTAATAACTTTTTATAACCAGATACATTTTAAATATAGTAAGCTTAAAATTTCACAGTGTGATTGCATTTCACGGATGTTGATATATGAATAGTGTATCTGAGCACATACCAATGAAATTCACCAATAGTTTGTTTATAAGCATTGTGAGCACATGCCAGAAAACAATGTTTTCGAATCCTACTGGACATTGCACTTTCAATTCCAACTGTAACTCTGTGTAACAATGTATGGTTAGATATCCTGTCCTCCATTCAATCCTTTCAACCATTCATATTTACAGCTAGTTCAGTAATAAGAAAAACAAGGATCTTCAGATAATCCATAATGAATCCCTCCTACATTATTTTCTATCTAGACTTGTAACGTTACATATAATAAGCCAAATATGTGGGAGCAAAACCATATGCAAACAGCTGCTGTACAGCTGGTTCTCAAGTCTGCCCAAGAACAAGAGCTATGTGCGTGTAACCCTAGTTAGCAATACTCTTCTGTTTCTGGACAGAATCCAAATTATGTTTGTCTTCTTTTGTTCCAGAGAGCTAGTATGTTGACTGTGTCTTTGCATAAACTGCTTCTCAGTCTGCTATATGAGAGAGAACTGCAGAATTCATTTCCATACAGATTTCCTCTTTTAGTTTCGGCTGAATGTTGGATTGGAGCGGTGTTTTCACATTCTTTTTTTTCTTGGAATAAACTACAAATATATGTACTGTTACGAATCAAAATCTTGTATTAGTACATTATTATTGTAGAGCAGTTTTCTGACAGCTTCAATTTCACATTGCAAAAAGGTTTTATAATAATTTACTTTGGGTTGCAGAGTTTGGTTTTATAATGTATCTGCAGTTACATTCTCATACATCAAACACAACAAAAATGCTTTTGCAGGCCACCTGCCCTTTAAACCTAGTTCTGCTCAAAGGCATCAACAATCATTGGATAAAGACGAAGTATCTTGCCAGGATCATTTTTTATGTCCTTCACAGGGAATGTGGGGAAGAAAGATATGTACCTATGTAGACTTTCACAAGTAATGCTGTCTGTTGGACAGACTTCTTTCCTCATTATTATCAAGATTAATAGTGTCAATCTAAGTCTGCTGCAAGAACAGTGAGCTATTATTGTAACATTGGTTTCATTATAAATCTCAATCTAATTTAAATCATGCAATGTACATGTCACCTTGTACTGTATAGTCATACTGGCTTCACTGACTGTATAAATTTAAAATTAAAATTCATGATAATTACCAGTCAAATATTATTATGAGGTTTCACAATCCATTAGGTTTATTTTCATTAGGTAAATATTTCATATTCTATCATCTATCTATCTATCTATCTATCTATCTATCTATCTATCTATCCATCCATCCATCCATCCATCCATCCATCCATCCATCCAAACACCCCTTACCTACCTGCCTGCCTGCCTACCTACCAGAAGACTGTATCATTACTGTACATGGAATTCAGTTCCTCATAAGCACTTAGAGAAAAAGTGCACTACTAAAATCTGAAACCTTACTTCTATGATTACATTCTTTATGACAATAAGAAAACCTGCAATGTCATTTAAATACATGAGTTCTACAAATTTAATCATGTCTCCTAGAGCTTAGCACTATACCATCTGATTTACATATTTTCTCATTGCACCAAAAAATTGTTCCTTCACATCTCTTTTAATATAAACAAGGAAAAGATGAACATCAGTCTATTGCAGTTATTCAAGATATCCATATAAAAACCTGCCACTATGTTTGCTCTAAGCTAATACATTTTTCCAGCTCATTCATCCTAGTCACTTCATTTATTCAATTACACTTTCAAAAGTCATTATTTGCCAACTGCCTCCTAAGCACATCTCTAAGCACAGAAGAGTTGATTTACAAACAGAATATACTCAATAGAAAAATAATAAAATGAACATACATATGAATACATTTTTGGCCATCAATTCCTTTTTCCTTACATGAGTTACCACACTGACTGGATAGCTTCTTTCTTTTATATTGTTTCATGGTTAACGGCCCATTTAAAAGGGGCCATCTCTTGGGAAAGGGCCGATAGTTTACTTATTTCCCCATTGAAGAATCTTCATTTGTTTGCACAATCAATAATCAGCATATTTCTTTTTGATTATTTGCCATCAAGCTGGTGTTCAGTTTTAGTGCTCACACAGATATTTTCTTAAGGAGCAGATCTTCCTTTACCAACCTCTTATGATCTCTCTCTCTCTCTCTCTCTCTCTCTCTCTCTCTCTCTCTCACACACACACACACACACACACACACAATTTGTTTGTTTATATACATTGCACTGAGTATGTTTGGAGAGACAGAATCAGATCAAAGAAAATGTACCTGACTATTTTTGCGTGGAAATTAACTGATTTGGAGAGGCAGAAAAGAGCAATATGGTATTTTCATATGTACTATGAAGAAGGAACATTTTCATGGTGTTTATGTGGGTTAAAGTATGCTTGTAAATTTGAATTTTAAAATAAAGGAGAATTGTAAATTTCTGAATATAAATGATTTATGTTTTTGTGTTTTAGAATAATGAATTAATCACATTATTGGAAAACATAACAATATTATCCAAGAGAATGCCTATAAACATTTTTTTTTAAAAGTGCAATTATGTTCAGACTTGGAATCCAACAGGGTTTTGTGCTTTTCAATTAATATGCACTGCATAACATTATAAGATTAATAATACTCACCATTTTGAACATCTAATACATGGTGTTTGTCAAGTGTCCATCCACCCATGTTGGAGGCATCCAATTCATAACCTTGTAGAATGGCTGTCCGTTTTTCCCACAATGTTAGATCCAAACAAGATTCATATTCATAACCAACAGATACTGAAATAAATAATAAAATAATTATTTTATATAAACTAATGCAATGTTTGATAGTCATGATTAATTTATTTTCATTTAACATTGCTATTAATATAGAGTGACTGTGCTCATAAGAGGCTTTTACTATTTTATCTCATTAATTTAAATGTTGACATTTAAATAAATATCCGTTAAAGCACTAACAATATAATGTAGAAAAATATAAATCCAAACAGAAGCTGGCAATGTGGTACCCACAAATTCTGAAATTAAAGATTTTGAAATTAAATTCAAAAAATTAAATGATTTCTTTTAAAATATGACATGAAGGCTGGCATTTGAAAAGGTCACTGATCCTTGATTCAGAATCCAATAAATAAATAACAGTTACTGATTCACAAATACAAAGATCACAATTACTATTCTCATTTGTTGACTTCAATAAAAAGTGTATCAAAAAGATTATATGAAAACCAATATATTTTGTATGGCAAAAGTTACTATGGAATTCATTTGCTAGATTTATGTTCCACCTTTCCTCCAGAGCTCAAGGTAGCATATATAGCACTTCCTCTGCTATTTTCCCAAAATTTTATGAGGTAGGTTGTGCTGGGAGCATCTGGCCTAAACTCACCAAATACGTTTCCATGGCTGAAGTTGGATTTGAACCTGCACATGATAAAACAGATCCTAATTCATAAAAATTATGTCCAAAGTAATTGTGCTTGAAACTATCAAATATTTAATTGGTTTTCTTGTAATTCTATAACTGATAGTCCTCTGAAAATTGTGTTAATATTAATTGGTACAGTGAATTATGTAGCTTTAAAAAATTGTCTATTCCATCCACTGATTTGATCTACCAACTGAGGTAACTATAATCATATAAATTTTATTTAGATAGTAGAGAAGTTGAATACATCCAATATAGATGCACATTTCTGTTTGTCATCTCCTATGTCTTACTTCAGAAAGAGCCCAACATAATTTTATGCTAAAATAACTTTAAATAAAACTTTTTTCACATCCATTACATGTGTGGAATAATTGTGTGCTACGTTAATTAAAATGATGGATTAGGGCTAGAAGAATCCAGCTGTGGATACTCATTGGACATTTTTGAGTTTCACAATTACTTAGCCCAATCTATCACACGTCATTATTGTAAGAACACTGGAGAAGGGAGCATTATATAGTCTACTGTCAGCTCCTGGAGGGAAGGAATGGTATAAATAGAATGAATAAATATGTAAATAACTGTTTATTTGCATATACAGACATCTTGGGCTTGCTTATTTTCAGGTTTGGATATTTAATTAGATTTTTTTTCCCAGTATTTGACGATTTAATTAATGAACTGAATAATTAAAATGAGAAGCTCTTGTATATTGATATACTGATATTCCCTTGAAATAAGTTTATGGTTCCATGTGAAGTATCAGAGGCTGAATAGCAATTTTCAGGCAATTATGAAAACACCGTGGCCGCATACAGCTTTTTTTGCAAAAACAAATGTACCTTTCTTCCTGTTAGTGTTAGATATGATCCAATCAATGCAGTTATTTCTAACTATTACTTTCTCCAATGTAAAAATAATAGTTTACCACAATCAATATGATAGTTACAAAATTAATATTATTCCTTTCATATTTCTGTATTTGTATACAAAACTTACATTCAGTTCGTGTAACAGACTGCAATACTGCATAATTTTGTTTCTTTCTATATAATGTATCCACCATGAATTATACTATTGAATATAATTTTTGCTACATAATATCAGCATATTCAAAAGAACCTGATAACAAACAAAACCTACCAACAGCTTCAGATAAACCATAGACCTTTTGATTATATGCATCAGTTTTATCCCATATAAATGTATAAGCCAAATTTGGGGATGCAGGGAACCATTTTTGGAAAAGTCTTCCTACTACAGCCACCATGAGATGAACTTTCATTAAATTAAATGGTATCACAGACTGTGTCATTGTGATCTTAAGTACAGATTTATACCCCGCCGCTCGGGAGCTTAAGTAAGACAATTTCAGATCAGTTCCTGGTATTGCAGTTTCTTCATGGAGCACCTAAAATATGAAAAAAATAACAAATTAATCTTTGCTATTTTTTAATGCACATAATTAGATAACCACTATAGTCGTAAACCTAGTTTTGTACCAATTATTGAAGAATAATATACTATTCAGTTTTATATGATATACTATCCAGTTTTACTGGAATTTTGAAATACAATTTTTAACAGTTTTATCAAGATGTACAAGTGCAGATACTTTTAGAAAAATATTCTCTATGGAACTGTAGCAAATACAGCAATATTGAAAATAACACATTATACAAATGTTGATGAAATTTGAGACTGCATTCAATTAGAAATATCTTAAACCTTTTTCTTTTAAACTAATCTGGACTGAAAGTTTACAGAAAATTTAACTTACCTGTTTTGACATAGAAATCTTCAATAATATTCTCAATTAATGATTAATCAGCATGAAATGTAAACTATTTGTCTAGATTATATTATCAATACCACACCAACCTAAAACTCTTATACTACTATTGGAAGAAGACTATGTCAGCAAAAATTTCCAATTGTTTTTGCCAGAAATAAGAAAAGAACACAATCTTAATAATGTGATTTCATATAAATTGTCTTGTATCCAGGCAGACCATTATTTCAGCAATAGCCATCATTCTGAACTATGGCTTTTGGTATTTGTGCTACCATTTCCAGGAATCCCAGAAGCCAAGCCCAACTCAATTATTGTTTTTCCTGTTTCTAATGCATGTTTTATGTATGTGTGTGCGTGTTTGTGCACATGCATACACAGTGTCAAGTCAGTCTTGATTCCTGTTGATTGTTTGGACAAGTTTAGCCAATTTTCTTGGTTGGCCATTATCTTCTTCCTAGAGCAGACAGACAGTGATTAGTCTAAAGCAGAAGTATCAAACTGCTGGCCCGCGGGCTGGATGCATCATAGCGAAACAATGGCAAAAAAGTAACGATATGTCACAACACGTCATATGACGTTGCGAGTTTGACACTCTTAGTCTAAAGCTATCCAACTGCTAAGAAAGAAGTAGAACTCACACTTTCATGGTATTTAGCTCAATGCCTTTAACTGCTATACCAAACTGGCTGTTAGCTTTACTTTTATCTAAAAAAATATGGTATGTTAGTATATTATATATTGCCGATATATTGGTTTTATTCTTTAAATATCTTTGTGAATTCCTGGTACTAATGAGCTGCCTTATTGTAATTTCTCACCATCTAAAATATCTGTTTATTTAAATGGTTGGTTTTAATGTTGGTTTTTGTAATTACCTTTATTAATTTTATTAAGATTTATATCTTATGTTTTTATTGTTGTAGGCCACCATGAGTATTGGAATAAACAAAAAGGCAAGATATAAATTCAATAGTAAATAATAGCAATAGCACTTAGACTTATATACCGCTTCACAGTGCTTTACAGCCCTCTCTACGTGGTTTACAGAGTTAGCATATTGCCTCCTACATTCTGGGTCCTCATTTTACTGAACTCGGAAGGATGGAAGGCTGAGTCAACCTTGAGCCAGTGAAACGAACTGCCAAACTGCAGGCAGCTGGCAGTCAGCAGAAGTAGCCTGCAGTACTGCATTCTAACCACTGCACCACCACGGTTAGTCTCACCACTTTCAATCTGCTGATGTCAGGACAATGGCGCAAAAAATTTAGAAAAAAATAGATAATAAAAACCAGTATATTCTTTTCATATTTATTATGGCCAGAAGCCCAAAAGCATTTGATGAGTATTGAATACCTTGAGGAAATATTAATGAGCTGATGGACATGAAGAATAATCTTTTTCTCCCTCCTTTCCTCCTGACATTATTTGTGATTTGTGAAATTACTGTACTTATAAGGCAAAATATTCTTTTTATTTAGTTAACCAAGAATGGAAATGAATTCACACAATGAATTTGATCTACAACTGTCCAAATAGCTTCCCAAAGGATCACAAGAAAATGGAAAATTGTAAGCTATCAGTGCAAATACCTGACTAACTGGGTAATTTAATTTTTCCCTTAAAATTTATTAAAATATTATCAACAAACATAAAAATACAGATTTGAAACAAGCAAATGACAAATGTCATTTCCGGCATTCACATCATAGGGCAAAATTTCAAATCTATTAATTCCAACTTTAGGGTTTAGAAAATATTCAGTCTTAACCATAACATTTCAAGTCTCATTTCATAGTATTCATAAAAAGTCTCTTGTAAATTGTCTTTTTTGTGATATCAGGTTGTTAGAGTAACAATAAAAGTTCCTCAGGGAGATAATTGATTTAATTTTCCACTCTGCCCTCCAAATAGTATGAAATATGGCCCTATTTCTATAATGCTCAACATCAAGCTGTTTAGAATATAAAGCACTGAAAACACACAGTTCTTATTGCTTGCCTCAGGACTGTATCTCTTCAAATCTTGGAAATAAAGAGGTAGGGAACTATGACTCTTCAGATGTTGCTAAATTATATTTCCACCAGCCCACCAATATAACTACAGATGAAGAAAGTTCAGCATGCATATTTCTTGTTTCCTTTCTTCCATTCATCCTTAATATTCATGTTTTATTTAAAATGGTTTTGTTTTCAAATTTACACAGAGTCAAAGTATTTTAAGGAGGAAAACATCTGGATCATTTGTTCTTTTAGCCAACATCTGCCTGAGTAATATGGAAATATAGTACTTTACAAATACAGTTGCCACCAGGATCAGTTATCAGTAGAGCTGTAGATCTTTTAAAACAATGGAATATAATACATTTTTCTTGATTTCTTTGTTAAAAAATATCGATTTGGGGGGAAAAGGTTACCTTTTTTTAGTATACCTTGCTAGATGATTCCAGTGCATTAAGATCTAGTGCAGAAAGAAACTTCTAGCCCAGGCCTGCATAATATGCAGCATGTGAGCTGCACATGGCCTGCCAAATAGCCTTATGTTGCCCACTGGTAGTTTTTGAAAAACAACCAATCCATTCCTGCCAAACATTGCCTTTGCCTCCAAGAAGGGAGTTAGCACTGCAAACAAATTGGACTGAAGCCATTTCCACTTCATTTTTGGTTGCCACAGCATTGGGAGGGGGGATGTGTACTTTTAAGTTTAGACAAAACAATAAATTGTCCTGTGGGAACAAAGATCATTGCTGCCTGACTTTTGGCAGACTGAAGCTTCCATTAGAAAGCCCACCAAATTGGGGAATGTGATTTATGACATGTTGCTGGGGTGGGAAGTTCAACTTTGTAACATTGTAACATTTGGGAGGAAACTTCAGTCTTGGTTTTACTTTTGATCATGCCGATACTTTGTAGCCAAATAAATATGTTCTTTAAGTAAACCTCTTGCCTTGGAGTTGTTTTTACTTGTCTCATCTATCGGAACCATGACAAAGGGTTTACCAGCATCCAGGGGTTCAGCCAGTTTACTCTGAAAGATATACTGCTGAGTACTTCCAATGGTCCCAGGCCTCATGGATACTGCCAGCTGCTGCCAGTCCACCTCTAGCCACCAAACAGCTAATCAGTGTCCAGTTATTCTTTTGCAATGATTTTTAAGATATTAATCTGCTCTCTTCCTTTCTATGAATTGTGCAGACCTGCCTGTATTTTATATAGAATAATCATTCTACTGCATGATTCAGAATAATCATCCTACTGCAGTGGTGGCGAACCTATGGCACTCGGAGCCCTCTCTGTGGGCACACGTGCCATTGCCCCAGCCTTGCCTCCTCCCGTGACCCCCTCACCAGTAGCCCCCCTGGAGAGTCGCCCCTGAGCGTGGCCCACACAGAGCAGTGCAGCCAAGGATATGGCAGCCAGGCAGCGTAGACAAGACTCTGCCCTCACACCCCATCGCACACAGTTAATACAGCGAGGTGCGAGCAGAGGGCATGGCCGCAATGGTGCTGCTGGGCTGCCTGGTCGATTTGCAGCGAGTCCTGGAGGTGGTGAGTGGCCCTGCGGGCAGGTGGGGTGGGGGCGTGGAGCGGAGATGGGGCCAGTTTTTGGGCACTCGGTCTCCAAAAGGTTCGCCATCACTGTCCTACTGCATAGTTTTTAAAATAATTTGTAGATGGCATTTAGTTACCTACATATAAATGTTTTTAAAATAAATAATGTATTAGTGCAACTGAATTAATAAACTAAAAACACTTTTCTTACCATTCAAACCAATTAACCTGTGAAGGAACATATGATGTATTCCTGTACCAAAATACATTATATATAATACCGTCTTTACTAACTGCTGCACTGATAAGATATAGTGAAAAATCATATAAGTAAAAAAATCATTTACACATCTTTTCATAAAGTCTTCATCATAACTGCTTCTCCCTTACTAAATATAGTAGTCAGAGAAGTTAGATCCACTCTAAGATAAATCTCTAAGATAGAACCAATTAAATCATTTGAAACAAAATGGTCATGGCTAATGTTCCTGTTCTTCAGAGAGATTGCTTTAAGCACAACCAAGCATGGTTCCAACTTATGGATACAGCAATTCCTTCTTAATATGAGGGGAATTCAGAAATAAACCTCCATTTGGTTATCAATGACAGACACTCGCAGATACAGAACTTTTATTATACACATTAGAAAACTACAACATTATGTTACTTTTTGACATAATTGCCATTCAAATTGAGGCATGTCATAACGTCTTACAAGGTTTGAAATTCCTTATTAGTAGTCGCTCGGCACCAAATTTGGGCTATGGGGGGGTGATCAAAAACATCCCAACGGAACTGCTTTAAAAGTTCTTGGGTGCATCTAGCAGTGTGCGGGCAAGCATTATAGTGAACCAACACCACACCGGAAGTAGTGCCATAGAAAATCCTGCCAAATCTGAAGATGCCAAAGGAATATTGCTAGTGAAGTTCATAGAGAATGGTTTGACCATCAATTCAGAAGTTTACTGTGAAACGTTACGAAAACTCAGACGAGCCATCCATAACAAGCATCGGAAGTCAGACTTCCAGTGTAGTGTTGGTTCACGATAATGCTCGCCCGCACACCCCTAGATGCACCCAAGAACTTTTGAAGCAGTTCCGTTGGGATATTTTTTTTTAGAACATTTTATTAGTTTTAATATACAATACAATGAAAATACAAAAGCGAATAGTGGAAAAGATGGGGAAGGGAAAGGGGAGTAGAGAAGTGAGGTAAGGGAGAAAAAAAGAAAAAAAAAGGCATTGACTTCCGACTTTCTTTCCAATGGTCAAGTCAAGCCGTTGGGATGTTTTTGATCACCCCCCCATAGCCCTGATTTGGCGCAGAGAGACTACTAAGGAATTTCAAACTTTGTAAGACATTATGACAAGTGCCTCAATTTGAATGGCGATTATGTCGAAAAATAATGTAATTTTGTAGTTTTCTAATGTGTATAATAAAAGTTCTGTATCAGTGATGTCTGTCATTGATAACCAAACGGAGGTTTATTTTTGAATTGCCCTCGTACTTAAAACAGTAATTGTTACATGGTTTTATGTACTACCTTTTCCATAGAAAAATATGTGACATGAATTCAAAATTAACCTGCTAAAGAAAGAAAACTAAAGATAAGAAATATGTTGGGGACCAAACTATATACAGATAGTCCTCAACGTATGACCACAATTGAGCCCAAAATTTCTGTTGTTAAGTGAGTTTTGCTCCATTTTATGATCTTTCTTGCCACAGTTGTACAGTAAGTGAATCACTGTAATTGATAAATTAGTAACCCAGCTGTTAAGTGAATCTGGATTTTCCATTGACTTTTTTAGGTTGCAAAAGGTGATCACATGACCTTGGGACACAGCAATGGTCATAAATATGAATCAGTTGCCAAGCATCTGAATTTTGATCACATGATCATGGGGATGCTGCAAAGGTCGTAACTGTGAAAAATGGTCGTAAATCACATTTTTCAGTGCCATTGTAACTTTGATCAGTCATTGAACTGATTGATTGTTCATTGAACATTGTTGTTAAGTTGAGGACTACCTGTATGACGACATTGTATGTACAATTACAAAACAGGTAGTCCTCGACTTATAATCCATTTGTTTAGCAACTGTTCAAACGGCACTGAAAAAAGTGTCTCACTTGTAAGATCAGACCACCTGGTTACAATCATCAGCAGCAACCCCACAATCATGTAATCAAAACTGGCAACAGGCATCTATTTACAACCATTGCAGCATCCTGGGATCATGTGATTGTCATTTGAGACCTTCCCAGTCAGCTTCTGACAGGCAAAGTCAATGGGAAAGCTGGATTCGTTTAATGACTGCCTGATTCAGTTAACAACTGCAGTGATTCTCTTAACAACTGTGGCAAAAAAGGCCAGAAAAATCAGGTCCAAATCACTTAAGAACCGTCTTGCTTTACAATGGACATTCTGATCTCAGTCATAGTTGTAAGTCAAGTACTATCTGTAAGAGATTCTGTAATCATGATGGGATGCAGTTAGAAACAGTTTAATATTATTGATGAAATGACTTTCAGATAATGCTGTGTGAGACAATTACTGCTTATTGAGGGAGATGGATGGTTCAGAAATGTGAAAAATAAATAAAATGTGTTTTATTTTATTAGCCAGATTCTTGAGAATAGATCTGAAACTGAACTTGACAATAGATTAATTCTGTCATGGTATTATTTGGAAGTTATTTTACTGATAAACAACTTTGAGAATCTAAACTATAAATTTAATATATTCTTTTCAGGAGCCTAACTAAGTTGCTAGAAAGAAAAAACTTTCTAAAATAATTTGTATTGAGGAAAAAAAATCACCCATTAGTTATTGGCATAGTTTTTACATTGCTAAAAGCTACTATTTTATCTTTGGAAATAAGTGGAAATAACACCTGATCCAAACAGCTGAAAGGATTACATGCAAGTTGCTTAAGGTCATATAGAAATAAGGTCTGCAGACCACACAGAGACACAACATGGGCTATAACTATCCCATGGGCAAGTAATTGTTTAAACATTGTTTTTAAATCTCACCAGACATTATTTTTCCATGTGCTGCCATTTTAGTTTTGAGAGTTTTTTTTAATGAAGATATTGATAAACTGGATAGTGATAAAGAAGCTTTTAACAGCCTATTGTCATAAATTTTCTCTAAATTTTAACACATTTTCATAAACATATGTTTAAAATGCTGGTTCGTATCTACAATGAACACTATAGAAGTCTCAGGCAAGGACTTACATTCCAAAGCAAGAGAATATCTACTAAGGCAGAATGTAGACGATTCATTTATCTTTGTGTTTACGTATAGATAAGAAAGGATTCAAAAGCATTTTTGTGAATACATGTACATGGGTTTGAAACGAATATCAAGTTATAAAACAAGCAAATGTTTCCAAGCACTTGTAATATAACATGAATAGGTAAGTAGATGGATATTAAATAGTGCTGAATACATAAATGTATACTATCCAATAAAAAACCCATAAACAAACAACAAAATAGTGGAAAAGCTGTTTGCCAGAAAACAAAGAATGAAAACTTTTCTACATCTGGGAACTCTTAACTCTCTTCATCCAAATTCTTCAATATTTTGAAAAATGATGTAGAGGTAACTTTCTCCACTAAGCATACTTGCTCAAATTAATTTTTTATAGGCAGATATAGGCAGATATTCTAGGAATAACATAGAAGTGTAAAAACCAGAGACATTTGCATTAATTCAATCTTTTCCTGCAGCTTATCAGATGTTTGCCAAGCAAAATGTGAGATTTCTTTTAGGCAAATTAACTATTAGGTGTCAGATAATTGTTTGGTCAGAAAACGATAAGACAAAGTGTCAGGAAACAGAAGTGAATTAGGATCTACTCTAAAATGAAACTAATGAGACTTCAAGGGGTCAGAATGAACTATAGAAAGGTTAAGACATTAGCAGAGTATTGATAAATACTCAAGAATTGATAAAGTTAAAACTTTTTAACCAGCATGTTCATAATCCCAATACAAATTATATATTATTGTTTTTGTTGTTATTTTAAAATATATTACAATGATCTGCATGCAAAAATCTTTACACTTAAATGGCACTTTACCTGTGTCTCAGGAATAATAGGGCTGTCTTCAGGAGAGATCCTGAACAAAGTAGATAAAGGTGATGATACAATTACGGGATTTGGTTTCACAAATCCACTCAGATCACAGCTGGGAATGTCATTCTCCTCCTTCTTCATGACAAGAGTGTCCATGACATAGAAGACGTTCCATGGAATCCAGACTGTATGGTACTGAGTAAGGAATGGTGATCGTTCAAATACTAAAGTTAATGATGCACCACCATTTGCCACCAAGTCAAACCTAGGTAAACCAGATAATTATTTAGTAATACATTTTAATTAAATTTAAAGCTTTCCAACCGATATATACAATTAAGATTTAATTTAATTTCTTAGCACTGGTTTGATACTGGTGCAAACCAGAGGTTTTTTTGATTCTCAATCTAGCTGATAAATCTGATTACTCCTGGTGGTAACTTATCAGAGCCAACCAGTTTCAACCTTATGATAGTCAGCTATCCTGCAACCTATCAGTGCAATGTTTCTGATATATAGATAGAAAAATGAAAATTGCCATATTTCAGGTGCATGAAACAAACTTACATTCCATCTTGACGAGTGATTGTATAACCAAAGTCAGGATAATGTAAAAAGGAGACATTAACTCCAATTAGTGGTGTTCCATCTGCTGTTAATACTTGACCCCTTATGACAGATGCAAGACTGTGGAGAAAGACACAAATTTAGATCATTCGGAAATCTTACAAATTATATTTTCTCCAACAATAAACATTAAATATTAGTTTCACAGAATAATACACAATTTAATTTCAACTTCATTTCAAATTCTTAATTATTTATAGTGACTCTTTCTGGTACACTTTAACAATGTATGTGAGCACACAATATCTGAATACCAAAAAGTTGCATCAAGTAAATATAGCTGTGCCCAGCTATATTTTGTTGTTAAAGGTCCATTTCAGATCCGGTATTTCCTTCTATGAAAATGTTATTGGCTATGCAGAACTTTATAGTGCAATCCCATGTATTTAATTTATTGTGTATTGTGTATTTATAGTGTATTTAATTTATTGAATTTAAAATGCTAATTCCATCTTAAATATATTTGGAATTTGAGTTTTAGCATTTTCAACTGCGGCATCTTCCTTTTCAACTGCAAATATAACTAAAAATACTTGGTAGTAGATTTCATTTAATCAAAAAAATCAATACTTCAAAATCAATAGCCAATAGGAAAAGTTCAAGAAGAAATGCCCCTCTCTGTATATGACATGATTTTTTTCATTCTTCAAATACTGCTGAGCTATGAAATAAAAAAGGTTAATTCTATAAATTTCAGTTTGTGGTATATATGGACATATGTATGTATTCATTTTTTTCCAATTTATATGATATCCTACAACAGGAGGACACTATTGTAAATGCCTACTACGGTGTACAATTCCCTGATTTCAAATACAAGGCTTTCTGAACCAAAGCATTCTGAGTCATTGTGTAAAATGAAGAAATTAGTAATGATATTAGCTAGTTTTGCTAGTTTGTTTTTAGGCAAGGTATTTAGGAAAGAAATTTTGCATCTTCGGGGGATGAAAAATACAGAATTTAAGGGAGTCTTAAGAAACATTTCTTTAATACTTTTAATCAACAGCTGTGTCAAGCCTGATTAATGCATCTAAATTATTCCAGATAGAAGACTTCTAGTATAAATTACCTACCTTCTCTCAGTAAAGCACAGAATACCTGCTTTCTATTACATCTTATTTTGAAATGTGCCACTGCTGTATGAAGCATGCATAGGCAGTTTATGCACTGTGCTGTTATAGAGCTCACTGTGTTGCTAAAATAATTCATAATTTATATTATGCATTCAGTTTTGTTTTAAAAGTGCATTACTGTCTTCCTTTCAGAAGTATGTTCACATTTTTGATATACTTCCAGCAGTGCTAACTCAAATCCGTTGGGTGAATAAGATTTTCAAAACCCTTAATGTCCTACTAGAAATAGGCACCACAAACAAGAAAAGGTTTGTAAACTGACTGAAGTTTTATACATAATAGCCACACAGTTCAACGTTCAAAGTTTGAAGGTTTCCAACCATCCTGGGGGGAAAAAATAGAGTATCAGAAATGTAAAAAAGCCCGTAAGACATTACTTTTTATTTAATACTACAATGATACAGTCACCTCTTATTGAATGGGCTTTCCCCAGGAATAACATGTGTGCTTTCTGGTCCTATAAGAAAACTGATCCGATCATAAAAGGATTTAGCAGCTTGCTGAGATGGTGATTGCTGACTTTGGCTAATAATATCTTGTGGGTCAGGCAATCCTCGACAGAAAGGCTGGTTTTGGCAGGAACTCTGCAAACAGCAGTCAGGATCCATGCAGTCAACTAATCCATCTACAGACAAAAAAGTCAAAAGAAAAACAACAATACTTCTTTATTAGTATTTTGTCTCTAATGAGCAATTACATGATCGCTGTATTGAATGTAATATGAAAAAAAATTAAAGTTTAGCTTCTTTTTAAGCTTCTTAAAAAGAGTAGGGAGCTCTGATTAGGTAAAGAACTTATCACCCTCCTCTGGTAATCCTAGAAAAAAGAGGTGCAGTCTCAATTTCACAGAAAAAAGACCGGAAAAGCACCAGGCCCAGGCAGAGTAACTCTTTCTTGCTTGAAAGTCTGTGCTGATCAACTGGCCCTCATCTTCACCTACATCTTTAATAAAACAATGGAGACGTGTTATGCCCCTTCTTGCTTCAAACACTCTACTATCATCCTGTTCCCCAAGAGACTCTCTATCAAAGAGCTGAATGACTACAGATTGGTTGCTCTGACATAAGTAGTTATGAAAACTTTTGAAATGTTAGTGTTGGCCCACCTAAAAAACATTATGGATCAGCTGCTAAAACTCCTTGCAATTTGCCTACCATGCAAAGAGATTGGCAGATGATGCTGTTAACATGGCACTGCACTACAACTACATCTTGAATCCCCAAGGATGTATGCAAGACTCCTTTTTGTAGACTTCAGCTTGGCATTCAATACCATAATTTCAGAAATTCTTTGCTCCAAAGTGACTCAGCTAGCTGTGCCTGACCACACTTGAAGGTGAATTATAAACTTTCTAACAGATAGCAGCAGGTAAAATCACATTGAATACCCAAACAATTAGCACAGGTGCCTCTCCAGGGCTAAATCTCTCTCCATTATTCTTTTTTCTCTATACCAGGGGTGTCAAACTGCCGGCCCGCAGGCCAGACGCATCACATGGAAGCCGTGCCCACTCCATTGCCGGCAATGGCAAAACCGGCCCAATACATTGTGCGACGTCACGTGACGTTGCAAGTTTGACATGCCTGCTCTATACCAATGACTGCATCTTGAAGGATTCCTCTGTTAAAGCACTGAAGGTTGCAGATGATACAAGAGTCATTGGTCTCATTTGAGACAGTGATGAGTCTGCATACAGACAGAAGGTTGAACAACTGGCTCTATGGTACAATTAGAACAATCAACTCAAAAAAGCTCAGACTGCCCAAGGAGCTTCTGATACAGCTCTATAGAGGAATTATTGAGCCTATCCTCTGTACTTCTATAACTGTCTGGTTTGATACAGCAATCAAACAGGACAGGTATAGTTAGGACTGCAGAAAAAAACAATTGCAACCACCCTGCCTTCCATTGAGGACCTGTATACTGCATAGATCAGAAAGAGGGCTGATAAAATATTACAAACCCCTCACATCCTGGATATGAACTGTTTCAATTCCTCCTCTCATGATTACAGCTATAGGGCACCACATGCCAAAACAACTAGATACAGAGACAGTTTTTTCCCTTGTGCCATCACTCTGCTGAACACCTAATTCCCACAGCATTGTCTTATGTCTAAAGATATTTACTCATGTAGTAGGGTTGTATAACTATTATCCTTCTCATTTTTCCTATTACCTTCTACTGTTGGTATTTTAAGATTATGTTACTTTGTATGACCAATAACACATGGCCAATAAAGAATCTATTCTATTCTATTCTATTCTATTCTATTCTATTCTATTCTATTCTATTCTATTCTATTCTATTCTATTCTATTCTTCTCTCTCTCCTTCCCTCCCATTCTCTCTATGTGTTATGTGTGTCCTGTGTACATTCATGAGCCTATGTATACACCCCCACCCCCACTTATTAAATAAGCTAAAATCCTTAAACAGAATTATAATCTTCTCCAGAAATTTCTATTTTTAGTAAAAATCCACCTTAGTGGCAACAGGTGATTCTTGCTCTGAGATGCTCTCAAAGAAACAATCATAATTCCTGATTGGATGAATGAAACACAGGCAAACGAAGAACATAAGAAATACCTGCACCTCTTGCTACTCATAGAATGTGTTTCTCTCTCTCTCTCTCTCTCTCTGTGTGTGTGTGTGTGTGTGTGTGTTCTCTCTCCCCCATTCAATCCTGTCAGATTGCTCACAACTGCCACGACAAGTCCCTGCAGTTTTCTTAGCTAGGTTTTACAAAAGGAATTTGACATTGTCTCCATCAGAGGACTGAGACAAAGTGAGTAGCTCAAGGTCACCCAGCTGGCTTGGTACCCAACATGGGACTGGAACTCACAGTCTCCTGGCTTCTACCCTGGTGCCTTAATTACTGCACCATAGTTTGCTATGTTAATATATACAGTATTAATATTAATAAGATGCAGAAGCCTTTTCAGACTCACTACTACTGGAAGAATTTAGATTATGTCATTTAAGGAAGAAGGAAAATACAGGTTGTTAATGACTTGGTATATATACTCTCTTTCTTGAACCATGTATCACTGAAGAAACAAATTTTACACTAAAAAGAAAGTAAGAATAATACATAAAGATCTACATGAGGCATATGATTCATGAGCCACACAGATTCTTCTGAAGAATGTATAAATGTTTTTGAGAAGAAATGCTGAAGTATTTTTAAGAGAGTAAGTCACATACTGTAACAAAATAATGTTCAAAATAATTCAGTATATTTTTATATATTTCATAATAATCAATGTATCAGTGAATAGAGCAGAGATCATTAGAGAATGACATTTTTTTAAAAAACTCTTGACCTCTGTCAGCCAACTATTTATAAAAGGTGTGCAGCAGTCAAGATGATTTCTGCAAAATCCATTGGTATGATTAAATAAAAATATTGATATTTAGAAACAAAGAAAGCTCCCATTGAATCAAAGTTTGAATCGACCTAGTCCAATCATGTCTACACTGATGGGAGAGTTTTAGAAAGGGGCATCTTTCTCCACTGTATCAATTAACCCAAGATTTATTTCCTGTATGCAAATTATGTGCTCCATCAGCACAGTATGTCTCAAATCCCAAATGTATATTTAGAAATATTGGCAAAATTTTATCTTAAAGTATGAGCTGTGTGACTAAACCTCTCCATATTATTAGAAAAAAGATTTTTTGTGTTTTAAAAGAGATCTGAATATGCTATGTAAGTAACACAACCATAAATGAACAATTTAAAATGTCCAAAATATTGATGGACAATTAGTAGCTTGCATAAAATTTGATGGACAATTAGTAGCTGGCATGTAGCCCTCAAATCAATCTTATATATTAAAATAGTAAGCAATTTTTTAGAACAAGAATTTTTCAGTATAACTTTTTCAGGATGCATTTTTCTGCTAATTTTCAGCAAGAATAAGATAAAAGCAATGAATGCTATTGCATTAGCTTAACACATTGAAACTTTTATGAAATACAATGTTCAAAACTCACAACAATTCCTGTTATAAAACCACAATCTTGCCCAATTGTGTGATGTTATTACCTTCCTTGTTATGGCCTTCAGTCATCAAAACTTTCTCCTTAAATATTCAGCCAGCGGCAAAAAACATTTACTACTTAAGATGAAAAATGTAGCGAAGTACAGAACCTGCTTTTTAAAGTTCCTAGCTATTACTAAGTTAAATGGCAGCAATTAAAACCTGGTAAGTTAACCTGCTCTTAAAGACATCATGCAAAAGATTAATTGTAGTGTTGCTGTGATCATTCATAATGCTAAAAATAGTATTTTAATCAACTTTTTGAAAAAGCAGAAATAGCTTAATTTACACAACCTTGAATGAATGTTTTCACAGAAGAAACTCTCCACCACCACATTATGACTTTAAATTCATTGTGAAACACTATGAAAATATCTACATTTCTATATCTGTTTCAACCAGCTTATTAAAATCCCCAAATTACATTTGATTTAGTTTCTTATATTAAAAAAAATAGTCTGGAGGATATTTTTGATTTTCAAGGAAAAACATAGAATACATGATGATTTGGAAAAAAAACGCACTTCTGAATCAACAATCTCAGTTAGTTAAAATGATGACAAGAGGAAACAAAAAGTTTCCCCTTACATTTAAAAGGATACTTATCTGAGAACAAGGAAGCTAGCTCTATAAAATTTAACAAGACAAATTACATGCAAATTATTACATGCCTAATGATATATCCATAAAAATGAATCACATGTACCCAGATAAAAAGACTGATGGCCTCAGTTACAGTGCCAATGTGTGCACTGTTGGAAGCCTGAAGAAGCAGATTAGGGACAGATTGTCATCTGTCAATATATGTATATGATTACTAAAAGATGACATCAATTGGATAGCATGTAATCAATCAATCAATCAATCAATTAATCATTGCTCATTTTCAAAATTGACACACGTATAGTACACAGTATACTATATACCAGTGGTTCTCAACCTTTTTAATGCCGCGACCCCAACCGGTCGTAAGTCGAGGACTAAACCGGTCGTAAGTCGAGGACTAAACCGGTCGTAAGTCGAGGACTACCCAACCGGTCGTAAGTCGACGACTTTCCCTGCCCGGGAGTGCCGCGCATGTGTGGTTCCGCCCCCTGCGCCGGCCGAGGCATAGCTGGCAAGCGGCAGAGACAGAGCAGGCCGACCACCAGCTGGCCCAGCCCAAGGGAGGTAAGGCACCTGCAGGAAAAGGGGAAAAAATGGCGGACAAAAAAAATGGCGGACAAAAAAATGGCGGACAGCATTGCTTTAACTCCTTGGAAAATTCTGATAAAAATATTTATGAATGGAAGCTGTTACAAAAAGTTCGTCAACACACGCTCATTAATTTTTCCACTATGTGCTGAATCTAATGTTGTGTAAATTTGTATTTCCTCAGGCATTTTTCACTCCTTTTGCTAATAGAATCAGAGTTGAAGAAACCTTGGAGGTCGTTTAAGGCAACCCTTTGCTCAGGACAGGAATCTTCAAACTGGCTCAGATTAATGGTTGTTCAACCATTACTTGAAAACCAACAGTAATGAAGACTCCAAATCAGGAGGCGGGCCATTTTGTTGTTTATTCATGGTTAGGAAATTTTTGTCTTACTCTTGGGAGGTATGAAGTATTTGAAGACTTTTAATCATTTAAACTTCTCTTTTCGGGATAAACATACCACTTCACCTTCCTTTTTCCAACATATCTGTTCCATGCCACTTTGCTGTTTCTTATATTTTTATGACGTTTATCAGTTGTTTGCCCAAGTGAGCAATGGATAGTTATGAATCTGTTTTCCTCTAAATTAAAAGAAAAAAATCTGTCTATATATTTTATATGCCTAGTACTTTTTCCAAATGTTATATTGCCTCTGTAAAAAAAAAAAAAAGTGAAATGCTTCTAGAAACATCACAGTTCCTTTAAGAATCCAAAAATGGATTCTTATTCAATTTTTAATTAAAAAAAATTGAATAAAAAAAATCAAACAAAAACTTTAAAATATTTACATCTATTAAATTATGATTATTATATGCAGTTAATTGCAACAGAAAGGATTTATGAGAATCACCTTGAGCAATTATCCCCATTTAAAATATATGTCATCCACTTCTGGAATATTTTTAATGTCTTTGATCTTATTGTTTAGAATATACCTGGAAACTGTTCAGAGAAAACGTACAGAATAATCAGGAGCTATCTGAAACATTTCAAATAAGAAGGGGATAAAAATAACCTCCATAAAAGAAGATAACCAAATCTATTGGTTATTATTATTAAATCTTAAGCAGCCTAAATAATATTAACAACATTTACATAAATATATATTATTGAAAAGCAGTGAAAGAATTAGGTAGTAAGAAAATATAATTTGGCATAAATCACATTGTGAATGTCCTTGCCAATATATGTAGCTTCAATTAAAACAAACAAATAAATACACAAACCTGCCTTTGCCTGTCAAGTAGAGCTATTTATGAGCTCTCCTAATTTTTTCATACATAGCATTTGACTTGCTGTAGATTTGATTTGATTTGACACTTACCAGATTTGGAACAAACCAGAATCTTAAACTATCTGAGTCTTATTTCACTGGTAAAGTAATTTTTATTTTTATTTATTATTAAATTTATATGCTGTTCATCTCACAGTTTGAGGCTTATTTTAATCAGTACTCAGATATGTTTTTATTCCTTAAATTAGTAATTGACTAGATAAGTTAAAGGGAGACATGCTACTATTTTGCACTGATCTTGGGTTTACTCAATACAGATAAGGTTTATTTATACTTGTACAATAGGATATGGGAATTCAAGTTTCTTATTCTGATTTTACAAATTCAAATGGTAAGTAATAAGAAAAAAGTTGTAATGATCATTCTATTTCATTTGTTCTATTTTCATGATCAAACATGCTACAATAGATCTCTAGTTGGTTTAGCACTTGAGAAGCTTAGTAGGACTAAAATAAACTGGCTAACACATGCTCTGGTTGAAATGCATGATAAATGCATGTGTGTCTTGTTTTGCTTTAAACTACATCCTAGTCCCATCACTTTTCAACAGAAAAAGCTACTTAGATTCTGTGATCACACTTGTCAAATCTGTCTTACAGCTTAATATGAGAAAGTTTAAAATCTGAAGAACTAAAACAACTGTTCAGCATTTTGTGATATATCTGTGACAATAACAACATTCCCATTGTACAGGTTTTATTTTTTCCTCTGTTTTCCAACAGGGCTACATTTTTTTCTGCATCTTTTAAGATGGAACATACTACTACATGTGTACAAACCATCTAAACAATTTTTAATTTGTTTTATTTATTTATTAAATTTTCATACTGCCCATCTCACCTAAGGGACTCTAATTATCCTACAGAATTTTTTCCCCACCTGTCAACTTAGGGTTACTTAACTGAATAAACAATGATAAATTTGTGTGATTTACTGGCTAAGATTTTTTTATAACAATTTTGGGAGGTGCTTTTGAATTTAGTACAGTAAATTTTGTAATGCCTACCAACGTAATTCAACAATTTGGTAATATCTTTTGCATTAGTATATTATCTACCTAGAGACAAAGGAGGAATTAAAGTAATAGATTTTTATTTAATTCCTTGTGCACACATAATGACACTCAGCCGGATCATTTGCTTGAATACTAAATTACACCTATTACTGGGCAGGATGGTGTTTCTGCATAATAAGGGAAATTAATGTCCATACTGTTTATTTGATTATTATAGAAATTAAAATTTATTATGCTAATAAGTGGCATTATCTATTGTTTTCTTATTATAATTTTTAAATCTTAGTCTCAAGATTTTATACAATATTAAGTAACGCTAGAAATCAGTATCATGGCAGATGATTAAAATTTTTATGCTCTGAGATCAGAATTTTACCATGTATTTAATTCAATCTAACATTAAACTGTCATCCTTAAGAGATATGTTACTTTCCTAACATTTTTCTGCTATTAGATACTTTTGTTATAATAGAGAGCGCACATGCTTTATATTTTCACTTATATTTAGATTCTGACTGTAGCTCATGATGGTCCAACTACATTGAATGTTCCATAGTTTTCCATGGTTATTTAATGTGTGGATAGGCTAGAACTTAAAATTACTCACATGGTAAATGCAGAACAACTAAAAATTGCTACAAAATGAGGATACCCTTTGGATCAGGGGTGTCAAACTGCCGGCCCATGGGCCGGACGCGTCATCCGGAAGCCACGCCCACCCCATTGCCAGCAATGGCAAAACCATCCCGATACGTTGTGCGACGTCACGACGCCGCGAATTTGACATGGAATATATATGATCTAGATCAGAATAAAGTCACACAGGCATTTCATCTTATCTTAAGCAATTAAGTAAAATATAAAGAGATAACAAAATTGTTAACTAAAAATGTACCTCAGCATCCTCTTAAACATGCAAGGTAAAAATGTAACTATAACAATTTAAGAAACAGAAGGCAAGCAAGAAGAGGCTGGAGGAGGCAACATGAAAAACTTTATCCAGGTATACTGAGAAGAGAAATCTGAAAAACCAGGAAAGGAACTTATGATAATGGCCCATATAAAAGGGAAAGAGAAATAAAGATTTGAATGTAACCCAGGAAACAGAATACTTTTGCTTCTGTCAGGAATATGAAAGTTGGGAGGATTCAAAAAGGGTAAAAAGACTTAAATTTTAAACAAGTTGGTGGAAATGTTGAAAAATATAGTTAATAGACAGTTATAGGCAGTCCTCGACTTAGAATGGCAATTGAGACTGGAATTTCTGCTGCTAAGTGATGTGGTTGGAATCAATGATTGTAAGTTGAGGACAGCCTGTATGCAGTATTGGGGATGACACTATTGCTGATAAAGGGCAGTTAAAAAGGAAAAGCTTTTATGGAGCTATTTCTCAGCATATTCCTGTAACTTTTTCAAAACTTAATCTGAAAATGGATTTCACAACCATTTTTGTTGGTATGCACTTTTATGATAAAGTTCACTGGATTATTGTATTTATTCTTTGATAGATATACTACCAGTTATAATCTAATGTTCACTAATGGGTTTTGATGTACACATTTTGCTTGCTGTAACCAGCACTTAAGGATTTGATAGCATACAAAATGAAGGCAATAAATGTTGAAGCACATTTCTGCATGTATCTGATCCCAGGTAGTAAAAGCTCTATATCAATCTCACAGCAGTATTTTGTTCACCTGATTAAGAAGCCAATAATTTCACATTTTTAGCAGTGCAAGAATTTTGCTTTACACCTCCTACCTCCTTCGTTATCCTTGCTGTCAGTACATAAAGTTTCCATGGCGACATCACATCCTGCTCCCCTCCATCCAGGCTGACAAACACAATGCCAGCCATTTTGGTCAAGAGTACATCTTCCGTTACTATTACATAGGCCAGGGCACCCCTCTGTTAAAACAGACAAAAAGGATATTCCATGTGATTTAAATATTACAAAAATATTTAAATCTAATTAAAATACAAACAGGAGACACTTATTGGGAACAGGCCTTCAGAACAGCACAAATACTGTAATTGCACATGGAGAGTAACAGCAACATTAACTGGGATTCTTATTCTTAACTAAGTGGCATCTTTGATTTGTCTGACACTTTGAGACACCACTTACCTGTGCAGGCAGGAAATATATCTAAGAAACCACTAAATACCTGCAGGCCAGACAAAATTGTATTTTCGTTTTCTTTAGTGAAACAGCAGGCAACAGCATCACAGCACACAACATAGCCTCAAGATAAAACAATAGTGCTTCTATTCTTAAGAATAATGATTTGATATATTTGTATATGTAGATTTTGTTAAGCTCCTTGTTTTAAAGAAATATTTTTAAAATTCAAAAGAAGGTATGTTAGTATTCAATAAGAGAGAATGTTAATTTCATTTAGTCTCAGAGTTGCCGTATATTCATGTGAAATTACAGTGCTTTAAATAATTGCACAAAGTATATGTCAATTGTATGACTATACTTTATGCCAAAATACATTCCTTTCCACAGAATAAGCAAAGCTCAGGAAATAGTGAAGCAGCTTAGCATCTAGTCTAACAAACATTAGGATTCAGGCTGCATACGGATGGGACAGGACCAACAAGATTTCCAACTAAATGTAATAGCTGTGCGTATTTGAGTATTTAGGACGGACAAAATGAAATACCATAAGGACCACAATAAACATTGATAGACTGAACAAAAACACGGTAGTGACGTGCTTCAAGACAGAGCGGAGAGTGATTATAATTTTTTTGTGACAATCTCCCTAAGGCTTTTGTTCTGTTACCTTTATATCCTATCTTGTCTGCTTTTATGGCCAAGGAGGGAAAATTTGGGAAACAATTAAAATTATTTAATATATCCAAGATCTATTTTTTAAATCTAACATTACATCAAAAACAGTATTTGTCAATTCATATTGATGAAAACCTGGCATGCAGCCAACATGACCTGTATGAGAATGATGACATTATATAAATATAGATATGTAAAATTCTAGTATTCCTTATGTATGAGTGTTGTAAGACATTCACATAAGCAAATAAAGCAGAACTATAATCACTAGCTACAAATAAGATTTTAGGACTTAATTTTTACTCCACACAGATTAATATATAAGATGTGCCATTGCTTTTAATTTTTTTCTGTCTATATCTTTGGGTTCTAGAACAGGATTCTTTCCAGGAGATTGATAGTATTATTGAAAGAATCTGTTCCTATGCCTATTAGACTAAAATAATTAAAAATGTATATCTTTATTTACCTACATTAGCACAAATTAAACAACAACTTAATTTAAATGGAATATAGTAACATCTCATGACCAGATATGATGAAATTATTGTTATGGATGTCACATAATCCTACCTGGCTGAGATTATATTTGGCCTGCTTTTTCTTTAGCATTTTTTGCCACCTGCCCATTTTAACTATACATACAGAGGATATATTTTAGTTTTGAAATAATGTTTTCCACTTGATTACTACATAGAATACACAGCTTCATCTGTCCTATCATCAAGATATTGCAGACAATTTGATGCAATTAAGAATAATTCTACGAAAGCCTGGATATTGCCATACTCTAATGAAAAAGCACAAATAAGGAATAGAAGAAAGGCAATCTGGAAAAAAGGGGAGCACTGATGATAATAAAAATAAATAAATTAAATAGCCAGACTTCTACCAACAACTGAAGATATGAAAATATTTGCTGTTTTGTTGTTTTACTATTTAAGAAGTATTTATATTAAATGTTATATTCAAATATCAACTTTTCACATAAAATAAATTTCTCATATTGCACAGATTTTCTTACAATTTTTTCCTTGAAGTTAAAAAGTTTAGTGATTAACTTTAGAGGATGGTATTCAAAAATACATCAAGATATATGAATGCAGAATTCAGAGTTTAAGCATTTAATGTCTCTCACTTTTCTTTCATGTCAGACTTCAACTCATGTTTCTATTATAAATTTCCAGGTCAGGGGGCCTTCTCATCTTTTTTTATACATGAATAATTGACCATTTGTTCCAACAACAAAGTTGGGACACTTAGACACCACAAACAACAAATACCTAGCAATCTTCAGCGTCAGACCATCAAAGTGAATCTATTTATACACATATTGTGAAGCTTAAGAAACTGCTTAGTAAAAATGTTAACAGATAACAAAAACACTAAGTCTTCTCTTATCCAAGTCATATGGAAAGTAACACGAATGAAATCTGTAATTCAATGAGTATGAATATGTTGCACTTGCCAAGTCTAATGGAATGACCACTATAATATACACAAAGATATATGGAGGCATGTAGAGATACATGGAAGCATGTCAAGTAAGAGCAAGTATACAGTACCTTTAACTATTTTATCCAAATAGTGAGCTGGAGAATTAAAAAGAAAAAGAACACACATTTAAGAACAATCATAAAGGATGGAATTTTTCAGAATTCACAAATAGAAAGAGTAGTGATTTACTGAAAAGAATCGTCCTTCATATCACAGCAGTATACTTCTCACTGTAAATAATCATATAAAAATCTATGTCCAGATTTCAAATATACTGGTTTATATCATTTTACGCTATATCCATTGAAAAACATGAACAATTTTAATTTTAGTGCACATACGGTTAGTGACTTTTGTTGCCAAGGCCAAATAGAAGACTATGTTTCATAGTATTGTACAGTTCTGATATAAAATACTTAACAGACTAGGAAAAGTTTAGTATACCTCTTTTTCTTCATAGACATCTACACAAAAGCACAAAAAGATTGTTCTCACTCTTGTACTTCCAATAATTGCTATTCAGAGGAAGATTTGATTCAGAAAAAAGTACTTACTCATCATGACCGCTAGTCAGTAAAACTGCCATTCTGAATTTTTTTAACCCTATTGTAAAATTTTCTAAGTTGGTGGCCATTGATGTACAGTATCTTGTTTTCACTCACAGGATATTGGTACCAATTTTCCACCATTTAGCTAAATTGGAGCTTAGATTTAGCTCTTGGTATTGAAAAAGAAATTTCTCTCTGTTATATCCACACTTGATAATCTCTATCATAGTTTTCTTTAGTCATATTTTTCTAAATTAAATAATTCTGTGAGTCATAATCTTTTTTTGAAAAAAAACTGTTCCATCCAAAACATTCAGATCTTCCTTCTCTACATCTATTTGAACTCTATAAAGTAGCGTGCTGATGAAAACTATACCTAGTACTCCAAGTGTGTAGCTGCCTTATAGAGCTGTTTAAAGGCATTCCAATTTGAATTTAAATCCTGTGTTTTTACAATGACCCTTAATACAGAATTCATTGTTTTCACAGCTTTGAGTTATCTACAACAACTGCCTCAGTAAATCCTTTTTCTGGTCAGTAAATAATTGTTTATATTCCATTGTTGTATATGAGAAATTAAGGTTTTTCTTTATAATCTCCCCAGGTGATCATATTATTTACTCTAAATAATAGCTGCCATTTTCAGTTCGGAAAACAATTCTGCAGCTTTTCCAATTAACATTTTTATTGCTGCCTTGGATAATTTTGTATGATTCACAAACGGGGGAATTTTACTGCTTACCCCTTTATTCAGGTTATTCATAAATAACTCAAAAAGTCCTATTTTTAATATGGATTCTTGGGAGAAAGCACTTTTTTACTCCTTCCATTTTGCGAATTGTCAATTTCTGTGAAATATGCAGCTAATTATGCAAAACAAAACACATTATTCTTACTGGTAATAGTACAGATGAAGCTAATTGTTTAAAATTTGAAACTGAGTCAAGGTTTCAGATAAAAGCAATATAATTTTGGCATGCAGCATATTTTCAAAAATTCAAGATGTTTTACAATGGCCAATTACCATTTCACATAAAGACTAGTCTATTATTTCACAGGATTGGCAATGGTTAAATAACTGTATGTTGCAACTTATATATAATGGGCCTTATTTTTCAATTATTATTATATATTGAATGTAATTTATATAACTATGCATGATATTATATTTTTTATATTTTGGATATTATTAAATAACCACAATAATGGATATTATCATCCAGAAATATAATGATTATTAGGAATCAAGCTTATTAAAGTTTCCTAGGCAACTGCCAAAGGATACTATTTGTTAATTACCTGTATAGTAGAGTATGAATATCTGATAATCTCAAATTGCTTCTGCCCACCCAGTTATGTTCTGAGGGTGGATGCATTCCAGTTTCCCTATATTAAATGTTGTTATTTTGTGAGACTGAGGAAGCACTCCTTTTCTGATATGACCCCTACCCTCTAGAAGGGCATCTTTCCAGAGCTAAGGAAGTCTCTTTTCTCCTAGGGCACAGGTCCCCAACCTTTTGAGCACCAGGGACCAGATCTGTGGAGACAGCTTTTTGTGCAGCCCGAAGGGGGCATGGTTTCATGTACTGCCTGCATCCCACAGATGGGGCTTTGCTTGTTTGCGCAGCCCGGTTTCTGGCATGCCCAATGCTGGTCCACGGACCAGGGGTTGGTGACCCCTGTCCTAGGGTTCCAAAAATTCTTAAAAGCAGGCCTTGGTCCCAAGCCTGGGGTTAATATATTATTGCCTTTTGGCTGGAGTGGGGATGGCTGTTTTGCTTCGCTTTGCTTGTTTTGAATTGCTTTTATATTGTTTTGGTTTGGGCTGCCTGTGTGGTTTTTATTTATCTGTTTTTTATGGAATTTTTTTTGGTTTGTACACTACCTACAGTTCATCGGAATTGGGCAGCTATAACAAATCTGAATAAATAAACAAACAAAAGATTAAATTAATATAAAGCATAGTATTTGGCTACAGCATGAACACCTGGTAAGAAATTCCTGAGTATCTTAAGCAAAGAAGACTGAAAAAGATGACCTCTGTCAACAATGGACAAATAATCATACTATTTCTCAAGATCACTTCCTATTGTGTTTTTAAAATGCAAACCTAAGATCTGAATTTATATGATTTTGAAAATTAATAAAATAATAAAATTTTATATATTAACAGATTCTATACATTGTTGTCTTTACTGCATTAGGGAAACATTGCTATTCACTTCAACGGTAGCCAAATGCAGAACAGTGAAAGTGAAAGAGTAGAGTTTATGACCAAGGTATGAAACTAATGGAGCCAATGAAAGGAGAAAGGAAAAAGAATGGATGTCTTAAGACTGCCATGAGGATGAAATGCCATATTTAAACAGGAACATGAAAGTGCTAAAAGGAAGATGATGGAATAGTAGAAGAATGTTGAACTGCCTATTGACTCATTACTTTTTTCGAATGTGAAAAGTTCAATTATAGAAACTGATTAATAATACAACACCATATCAAATAATAACCACTTAGATAAGTTGCCCATAGAAGGACCATTGAAAAGAAGTATTTTTAGTCTCATGGAAAACTTTGAACGAAATGTCATTAAGCAAAGAAACTGCAGAATGTGTGACTTTTGAGAATAAACATCCCTTTTGGAATTTTGTAATGGAAAAACTGCTGGAATTGTGCTAAGAAGTAAAAAAACAGAAAAAGGACAATGTATTATATATACTTCTCAACTTTATAGCACTCCATCATGAACCACACAAAACTTTACTATAAAAATCAGGTTAATTTTTCTATATTTGAAATATTTAATAAAATTATAAACACATATTTTCTGTATCTCAAACCTTGGGTAAAATATGCTGAAAATATAGCTGAAAATGCACATTGACTTGACACCAATCAAAAACTCTAATTTAAATACTGGGGAAAATGTGGAAATTTACCGATATTTAATCACTACCCATTTATAATAAAATGTAAATTAATAAATAAATATAGCAACAGAAATAAAATAAAACCTTTTTTGTAATTTTGTTTACAATATGTTGTTATACTAACACAAAATTTTCATTCACCAGTAAGTTTTATTAAGAGATCTCAGCAAAGGCGTTTTAAAATTGAATAGTTTTCATTAATCATTGATTGAAGATGTAAATCAGTATCCTTGGATTATTAGATTTACATATACTAGCTTCAATTGTTACTGAGGTTATTACTTGCAAAGAAGTCTATATTAAATCCATTTATTCCCATCATCTCTTGTTTAAATCAGGGTGAGTTGATGATCCTTAATTGGTACTCAGTGTACTGTTTTATTACAGATTATCTTATACAGATTATAATAGTGATATTCTTTTCAGTGAGGGATAATGCATTCTTATTGATATTAGTGTAATCATACCCATTATAAGATATTTCTAACAAACATAATATTTCATGTTTAATGTTAGTTTAAAAAAACTTGATTTTTGCATAGATTTCAACAATAACTGACACTATACTAATAACATTTAAGGAATGGTAAATTAGATTACCAGGCAATAATTCAATGAACATTCTATAAAAATCAGTGTTGCTCTATAAGATTAGCACAATGACAGATACATTAGAAATATATCATATGGCACTGAACCAAAGGTGCTTTTTTAAGGTCAACTGGACTTTCTTTGTTTTTCCTTGAAAGCATTTCGCTTCTCATCCAAGTTTCTTCAGTTCTGACTGAATTGTGAGGAATGGAAGGATTTCTATTTTTTGCAGTCATCTGGTTGTTAGCACTCTTTCTGAGAGTCATTAAGGCCACCTGGAGGTTTGTCTGTGCCCTCAGAGTCATTGAATAGTGCAAATGGGTGGAACCTTCTTGGAACTGCTGAAAGGACTGTGTTGTAAGCAGGCGATAGATGGTATTGTATGCTTCCACCTCTGTTAAGAGACGGCTGTTCAGTATTAATGTAGATGGCCTCTTTGACCCCTCTTTCAAACCAGAATGTGGACTTTGCTATCTTCAAAAGAGTGGCCTTTATTGTTCAAATGCAGATGGACTGCTGAATATTGTCCTGAATGTTGTCATTTGCTTGTGAAGTGGTTATTTTGTTTCTCCAGTGTACAGATCTGCACATGTCTTACTGCACTGTACTGCATTATATCACATTGCTCAGTTTGTGTCTGGGTGTTTTATCATTGATGTGGACAACTTCTGCCTCAGTGGATTCTTGGGTTTAAAGTGTGCACGTATATTGTGTTGCTGAAAATCCTTCTGAGCTCTCCAACTCCCCAACTCTCAGAAACAGTGCTAACGACCAGATGACTGCAAGGAATATAAATTCTTCTATTCCCCACCATTTAGTCAGAACTGAAGAAACTTCTTGGACGAGAAGTAAAATGTCTTCAAGAAAAAAACAGAAACAAAGAAATTCCAGTTGCCTCTTAAAAAAGCACCTTTGGGACTACCATGACCTGGATGACTGAGAACTGACATATGGTACTGAAAAATAAGCCTTTGGTGCGTTCATAGAGAATGGAGCCCTAAAGTACCGTGAGATCACGCGAGATCAGTA